ACATTAAAGTTGGTTTGACATCATCTTCTTCTTCATCACCCATAATCTTTTTTACCTCGAGATCACATACAGCTTCTTCAGCTGACCAATCATTAGTAAGAGAATCTTCTACATCTGATATTGTATCACCACTACTTTGATTTAACTTCATGATTTCTGCTGATCTACACTGTTTACTCTTCGAATCTCTTCCTAAACTTGACGTATCTGTGCTAGATTTAGATTTTGTAATATTGTTATCACGGAAACGACTATATTTAGCACCATTACTTCTTGTCCGTAATAATTTACGTCTTAACCTTTCACGTGGTGGAATACTTTCCTCATCCCGAGATGATCTTGTTGACTCGTTTGACTGTCTCAAAGAAGGTTGAGATTTAAAAACACTTTTTGATTTTTTTGAGGAATTCATTTTTGACTCTTCAGTCTCCACCTCAAAATTTTGCCACACTGATGGAACACTTTTATGATGCTCACCTTGTGCACCTTTTATATCCTGCTCAGGCGTACAGTCAACCTGTTCATCCACAATGCAGGGAGTTCGTTCACATGCTGGAGAATAATGCTCTGAACGGGATGGTTGTTCTGGAGATCCAATATCGACATGGGGTTGTTTTAAAAGAGGTTTACGGCAAGTAGAATGCGGACGTGAAGGGGAATGAGGTGATCTCGATGAACGACTTTTTAATGAGGATTTTCTTGACATTGATGAATTTTTGGAACTGCTTCGTCTTGCAAGAGGTGGCTCTTCTGATTTAGGTCTTTCTATCTTGATGTCAATCACACATGGTGAGGATCTCCTACCTAAAATAGATTTATACCAGACACATGAGACACAGTCTTTATTTCATAACATTTATTAGCAACATTTGAAGTTTTTGAATGATTTTAATCAACATGATCTATCATCAGTTCTCAAACAATGTAAACTCAATATCTAGCCCATGAAGGCAATGTTTAATTATATAATAAGAAAAAATAAAAAATAATGGTGAAAACAAAGCAACTGATGCTTTATTGCAATAATTCAATCTTATATTCAGAAAAACTAGCCAGTCAAATATCTGACATATCTGAAGACTCGCAAAAATTACTGAACAACTTAAATAATTTGTATAAAGAATTTTGAAATTTCAACTTACTACGAGATTTGCCATCAAGATGATCATGGAATGGTTCTTCACTAGGTGGGCGTATATTAAAGGTAAAACTTGGAGCACCCTGAGAGTCTTCTTGACTTTTACTGCTGCTTTCATTGTCATTACCAGTGGAACTACTGTCTTCTTCTCCTGTTTGACTCATCTAGAAACAAACCCTCAGTTCAATTAAATGAATTGAAATTAATCTTTCTGGGTGGAATTAAAAAATCTTATCAATATACCATCCCCCATATCAACCAACTTCTAGCCTACCATCTCTTTCTTGTGATGATAGTTATTGGTGATTCTGGTTTTGAATAACACAAATGTTATATTCAACATACTATGATTGAATAGACATTGGAATAGGATTGGTTTCAATATTTCACCCAATGCGAATCAGAATTCAAAACCCAATTATCTTCTCTTCAATAATGCATAATAAGTAACAAATTTGTTAATTTTAGTGATTTTACTTTGCTCTGTCTTCGATCTAGTTGAGCTGCCTTTTCATTTTCTTCTGCTGTTTGTTCTTCAATGATTTGTTCTGCTGCTCTAGCTAGGGCTGCTTCAAAAGCTAAATCTTCCTCATTGATACGATTAGATTCCTAAAACAACATAACTCATCATGTATATTTACGTTACATAAGTGAGCTAAAAAATGCTTATTTTGCACAATTGCAGTGTTTACTTATTAAGAAAATCAAAAAGTTTTAATTTTTCTGTTGATAAAAAGACACAAAAATAGTTCCTTGGAATCCCTTATCTGTAAATACAATAATTACCTGTAGATTTTTCTATTAGACTCTCATTTTAGGTAAGCAAATGTTATGAACAAATTTATGCAGGGTTGTATAAAAAAAATATGATGGGGCAAAGACAGAAGAGGGTAAAATTAGAGAGCCAAGTTCAATGGGGAAAGTGGGATGAGTAAAACAATTTGAAGAAAAAATTTATGATAAACTCCATTGCAATAGACAAGTAGGAAAACACCAGAGAAGTTTGTTATAAATATATCTGTGTTCCATCATTTCTTAATTCACTATTCAATATCATACATAATTACAATATATCTTTAATATCATCCGCTGATAAGTATATCAAGGTTATCTCCCTTGAACTAAGGGAAATAACTCTTCATCAATCAAACAGTGTGAGTCAAGTGCAAAATATTAGTGCAAGAGATAAGGGTAATATCAGTGCAAAGATGCATTACTAAAACAATTCGCTTGCGCTTTGAGCATTAAAGCCACCAATAGATAGAAAATGAAAAAAACACTTTGATTCAACTGCCTCAAAAAAAAATGGCTCACAGTTGAGAGTCTTTCAAAATGGTACTGATATGTCAGTTGTCCATGAGTATAGATCATGTAACATTTCAAAATTATAACATTGTTTTTAATTCTTTTTTAACTAAGCAGAGGTGGTTGTTGTATTTCTATTCTGAAACCTGATACACAATAATAGTTAGTAAAGAAAATAAATTTTGTACGACTAGATACCCATTCAAGGTTCATTTTAAAAGTTATAAGGTTTTTATTAACTAGATTATTACTTGTGGGGTTTTGTAAACAAATCCTGATGCAGTTGAAACCTAGGTTATTTTACCACCAACTATCTGCAGATTAATATAATAGCATGCTCACACATTGAGTGTGTTTTACCTTCATTTCAATGATCTCAGCTTTCTCTGATGCCCTGATAGCTTCCATTTCTAACCTGAGCTCCTCCTCCACTTCATCATCAAGTTCTTTATATTTATACGTTTCCTATGAGGTTATGTACATGCATGTTAGAAAGCTCATACATTATTATGATATACACCACAATGTCAGGCATAATATTGTTAGTATTGGGGTATAGTGGTTAAAGGATTAAAATAAAATATGATGTCAATCACATAAAAAGGTTTTAATACTTGTTCAAAACAGATATTTTCTCATATTGAATATATTTTAGTTAATAAATATACTGGTATGTAATATTGTATATATCTTAATATTTAATATAAATAATTATATTCAAAATAGATAGCTTGCCAGGCAAGGTAACAAACGCCCACTACCAGGTATCAGAAATGATATCAAAGTCGTACGTGGCTTAATAATTAATTTTTATATAATCTTATTAATATTTTTAAGTCAAGACAAATCTCAAAAACAGTATATTATCATTAAATTTAAAAAATGAACGAGGTCTCATTTACAGACACAACAGCAATAACTCTGAAACCATTCATCTGATTGTTTTGTTACCATTTTCAAACTTGACTCAGATCTTAATCTTATCAATATATCCATACGCACCAAGATTCATCTAGATCAGATAAAAACTGTAGACTCTATCATGCCTACAAGGTTAATTTGACGTGTTTTTAATAATTCTGAAACCTTGCCCCCAATTAATACCAATTTTTTGTACTTAAACTTAGATCCCAATATATATATATTTATATATATATACACGCATACAAGGTTTCATCAAGATAACATAAAAACTGTAGTCTACAAGCCCAATTTGACACATTTTTTCTTTTCTAAGTCAAGAGCAATAACTCTGAAACAGTTCAAACTGTATCGAACTTTAACAAGATTTCATTAATGATGGACGGATAAGGGTGACAGTAATATATATCCACATTTCCATTTGGGTGTATAAAAACAAGTAATGTCTTTTAGGACACAAATTTTGTTAAGAATAATCTGATTTACTTATGTAGATGACTATGTCGCGACTCACTGGGCATAGGAGAAAACCTTACAAACAAATAAAACCTTTTTATGAAAATATGGAAAAATAGTTGCAACAAAATTAATGCAAAACGATAACAACAATTACAAAATAAATCTCATAACAACAATTACTAAATTAATCTGAATACAACAATTACTAATTAATCTGATAACAACAATTACTAATTAATCTGATAACAACAATTACTAAATAAATTTGTAGTCCATAAAAACACATTACAAAAAATGACTTAAAATAATTTGATGGAACACAAAATATTTAAAACAAAATTTAGTATCTATTTCTATTTAAAGAACATAATATATTCACAAAAACAATGCTGGCAGCACTGCTAATAATTGGAGAAAAATATGTAAATTTGACTAAATTCATATAAGACTGAATGAAATCAATTCAAAATCAAATTTGCGAACTAAATTATGACAAAGAAAAGTGAAGTTTTATTTTAAAAGGAACAAAATGAACAGAGTTTGAAATGAGAAAACATAGAAGAACAATGAAAGATTTTCATCTACAACCTTTCTTTAAGAAATCTCTTAGTTATACAGTGATAAATAAGTGGTATATTGGTGTAATAATATAATATTATTATGTATCAGATTGAAAGTACTTTCATCATATTCATTCTAATCCAAAACTTTCAAAACCTTATAAGGTAGCATTAATTTTATATAGTTATGGTCAAACATCTAATGCTTATATTTCAAAATCATATCTTATGTTAAATAATCCCATACCATGAATGACTCAGGAATTATGCCAATTATTGTTTAAACTAGTTGTTCGTGAACAAGCTTAGTGAACATGGGCAATAAATTAAAAGTCTTTTCAATCTGAACACTATACAAGTACATTATAAAAAGACAGGCCAAAATTGCTGCTATGTGCATTAGTTAGTAAAAGCTCTGTTCAGTTGTTAGTATAGTACTGCTAGTTCATTGATTGCATAAATTATTCAAAAAATATGACATTGAACAAATCTAATGTCAGTTTGATTTCTGGTTAAAAAAAATAATTTGGGTAGAAAATTCTAGCTTTTTAAGATTTTAACCAAAAAGGCTAAAAAGAAATTTGGAGGAATTTTATGAAAGTGAAGGAAATTTCAGGTTATAAAAATAACTTTGATTTGTTCAATGTCTTATTAAGAATGGAATGATGCTGTAATAGAGATAAAATTACTAAAAACAACAATACCTCTAGGTGTTTCATGAGTACAGCAACCACCACATTTACTAGCACAAACTGAGCCATCAACACAAACACCACAAAATATACTGGAGAAATGAATGGACTGACACAGCAATTGACCAAACAGTTGTCACTAGCATTACAATCACCACGTAATGTATCCTGAAATAGATAAAGTTAAGAATGAATGCAAGCTAATATATACATGCAAGATATAACAACTTTATATCTGTTGCTTACTATTATTACACTTATTTCCATTTCTGCGGTTGGAATAAAATGAACATGAGGTGTGGTGACTATCATATTTTGTGGCAGAGAAATAGCTCCATCGATAGTGAATTTTGATTGTTGTATGCAAGGTGAATAGGTGCCGAGGTTTCACTGTTTGCCTAATATTTGCATGTGTATTTTTTTCTTACCTTCATTATACCATTCCAGTTGTCACCAGTAGCAACACGGAACAATGTTAAGAATGCCATACCAAAATCTCGGAAATGAGCGTGTTCACCCAAACCTTCACATGGATGTTCTTGGGAGCATTCTAAAAAGTCAGGTTATATTTATCAGAAACTTATAAACAAGGTCAAGACGGAATAAAATATTATTTTATTGCACTGCAAAAGCAAAGTTGAAATGACATTTCTCAGAGATTTTTATTACTCATTTCAATATTCATTGTTGTCATGCAATGGAAGTGCTAGTTCCTGGAAGGGTGGTCACAAATAGAGAACAAATGTCAGAATTAGATTCCAGAAATGCTGTAGAAGCAACATAGACACAAGCCTTCATTTTCAAAATAAAAATTGATTTGGTATATTCATATTTTTTGGCAAAATCTTATAATAATCATATTTTGAAATTGCACTGGGGGATGTTCAGGTAGTTATTAATACTTGTCACTCAGTTTAGCCTTTAACTTACCCAATCTGCCAAACAATTCAACTCCCAGAGCAGCAAATATGAAGAATAGTAGAAAGAAGAGGAGGCCAAGATTACCAACTTGTGGTAAGGCTTGTATCACAGTATCTAGCAATGCTCTAATACCTTTAGCCATCTTTAATAACTTTAACACTGAAATCACAAAGATAGCTTGCCAGACAAGGTAATATACGCCCACTGGCAGTTTTGATTTTGAATAAAAATATTTAGCAGTACAATAACAATCACTAGTATGAAATATTCAACCTTCAGTCATACACTCTTTTTAAACTCTTTAGGGCGATACTAAATAATATTGAGTATGAGTTATTGCCCTTGTTCTTGTAAACATGTTCAATCTTTAGCTTGTGAAAACTCTAGAAGGCAAATATTCAATCTTCAGGACTGAATAATAAAACAAGGTTTTTTTTCTGGTCAAAATCCAGAAAGAATCATGCCTTTTAGTGTTTAAGAGCTAAATTTGAAAGCGGTTTCAAGAACAAGGGCAATAACTCATACTAAATATTTTTCAATTCTTCTGATTTTCAATAGGGTTCATCCTTGGGTGATAACCAAAACTCAAGCCAAATTTCGTTAAAATCTGTCAAGAATTGTCCCTTCTAGAGTGTTTACAAGCTAAAATTTGAACGCGTTTTCAAGAACAAGAGCAATAACTCATACTAAATATTTTTCAATTTGTCTGATTTTCAATATAGTTTATCCATGGGTGATAACTAACACTCATGCCAAGTTTTGTCAAAATCCGTCAAGAATTGTGCCTTCTAGAGTGTTTACGAACTAAAAATTGAACGCGTTTTCAAGAACAAGGGCAATAACTAATACTAAATATTTTTCAAATTTTCTGATTACAACCACTCACACCAAGTTTCGTCAAAATACATCAAGAATTGTGCCTTCTAGAGTGTTTACAAGCTAAAATTGAAAATCACGAAAATTGAAAAATAGTGAGTATGAGTTATTGCCCTTGTTCTTGAAAGCGTTTTCAATTATTACATCATGAAAACTTTGGAAGGCAAATATTCGATCTTCAGCGCGGGACTGAATAATAAAACCAAGTTCTGTCAAAATCCAGCAAGAATCATGCCTTTTAGTGTTTAAGAGCTAAATTTGAAAGCGTTTTCAAGAACAAGGGCAATAACTACATATGTTTCAATTCTTCTGATTTTCAATAGGGTTCATCCTTGGGTGATTACGAACATTCATACCAAGTTTCATTAAAATCCATCACGAATTGTTTCTTCTAGAATGATTACGAGCTAAAAATTGAACAAGTTTTCAAGAGTAAGGGCAATAACTCATACCAAATATTTTTCAATTCTTCTGATTTTCAATAGGGTTCATCCTTGGGTGATTACGAACATTCATACCAAGTTTCATTAAAATCCATCACGAATTGTTTCTTCTAGAGTGTTTACGAGCTAAAAATTGAACAAGTTTTCAAGAGTAAGGGCAATAACTCATACTAAATATTTTTCGATTTTTCTGATTTTCAATAGGGTTTATCCATGGATAACAAAAACTCATGCCAAGTTTCGTTAAAATTCGTCACGAATTGTCCCTTCTAGAGTGTTTACAAGCTAAAAATTCAATGCGTTTTCAAGAACAAGGGCAATAACTCATACTAAATATTTTTCAATTCTTCTGATTTTCAATAGGGTTCATCCTTGGGTGATTGCAAACAATCATACCAAGTTTTGTCAAAATCCTTCAAGAATTGTGTCTTGCAGAATTGTGGACAGACGGACGGACTGACATGGGTGACGGCAATATATGCCCCCCATTTCATGTGGGCGTATAAAAATCATATTTAAATTTAGTATAGTTTCTAAAACTATTGGAAATAAAATAGAGGCAACACTTTAAAGTTTAGCTGTCATTAATTTGTCTATACAAAAAGTTGTGTGAAACGTACCTCTAGCAATACGTAGAACTCTCATAACCCTAATAATAGTAGGATTAATAGGTATGACATTGGTTTCCATTTCTTCTAGTATAATACCCACTATAGATAAAATAACTATAAATATATCTAACTGATTCCACCGATCTTTTATATATCGTATAAAACCTAATGCTATTATTTTCATTGCAGCTTCCAGAATAAATACACTGGTGAAAAAATAGTTGAATATCTTCAGAGCAAATTTCAGTTCCTGGAAAAGATATCATTAATTATGATGAGAAATAATGACCGACCAACTTTTTTTTCCATTTTCAACTGTAGAAGGATCTCTATGTTTCCTAACATGAGGTCATTATGATATTTGCTTTTTCAGTATCAACAAAAATGTTTTTCAGAGAACCATGAATGGTTCAAGTCATTTAAATAGGTGATTAAGTTATTCAGATAGGAATAATGTTATCAACAGGTTCAGAATATTTGAAATATTAACAACATAATATATAAGTTAGTTTCAACAAATAAACTGTCAAAATAGCAAAAAAATTCTTAAATGGTAAAACTTACAGGAGGCATCATGTAATATTCCATTGCCATGGAGATGACATTGAGACCTATGACCCCAGCTATAGCAAGGTCAAAATATTTACTATTTATAACTGTATGGATAAGAAGACGACATTTGGAATATTCTGCCCAATAAGGTGGTTCTCGTAACCCTAAAAATGCAAAAGAATTTAAACTATAATTAACAAGGAATTATAACAAATAAACATTGAGGATCCAAACAAATTTTCTCATTTCATTTCAATCAAAATGTACCTTTCTTCCCAAAATATCCAAGGGCAAGATGAATTTCAGTATCTGAGTATTTTTTGTCTAAAAAATCAAAAAGGCGAACTAAATAATCAAACAGTTGAATGTTAATTGAAGTTCATTCATTTGATATCATTGAGAAACAAAGCCATCAGGGGAATATGAAAATGGACAATGACAACACGCCTCCAGATCAAATCAAAATCTAAAAAATAGAGTAAATAAATAGATAAGAGATTAATCATATAATATATATCATACATACATCTACAGATTATATCATAAAAAACCCAAATATATTTTAACACAAATATAGATATTGCTCATTTTGATCCAAAAGATTATATGATATGATCTTCACCAAGTGAAGTAATTTTTCCCAAACGAATAACATATCATTCCAAGACATTACCACAATCATATGTATTAAGTATGCTTGATCTCTAAATTCATCTGCTTTCGGAAGCTAGTATGCTGCACTCTCTCCACTCACAAGCTATGCTCTTCATGCATTAAGGAACTTCAAATCACCGAGACAAGGTAATCATGACCATAATGCAGTGCTAATAGGGTATGATGTCATGTGTAATGTCACTATAACAATATCTAGAAATAATACAAGGTCTGTAAAATACTGAGTCTGGTAAAAGTTATATACTGGTAGAGATAATTTGCCATGCCACATTGCATTATGTTTTATAACATTTACTAATACTACACATTGTACAACATCAATAAGGTCCTGCAAAAAAAAAATCATGACTGCATATAAACCTGCTAGTTATTTACAAATGTCTCTATTTGTTGCATCTCATTTATAATGTCACAATCAGAACAAAGAAAGTATGAAAAGTGGTTTACTAACTATCTCCAGTGTGAAAACTCCATAGCTAGTTGGCTATTATCTTAAAAAAAAAATTTAAGACTGAGAGTTGCTCTGAAATTGTGCTTGAATGTATGTGAGGATGCATATGAAATTAATCACTTGCTCATCTATTTACATCCCATATTCATGCCAAATGAAAAAATACTTTAAAAGGTAATTAACTCTTTAGAGCCACTCTTATATAAAAGCCCCAAAACCAAAATAATCCTATAAATGCATGGTGTAGCATAATCTATTTGTTCAAGACAATCTTTATATGAAATCTACAACCAGTGGTGGATTCTATATGCATGCATAACTTTCACATAATATTGTTACCATGTTTCTTGCAAAGATAGTTTCACATTCAGTTTTATGGTATGATGTTCAACCAATCTTGATAAAATGATTACCAAAAATCAAATTCAATTACCAGTGCACATATATAAATTGAATCAGATGTTTTGAATTATGAATTGTGATTAGATAGCGCATGTTAATATCTTATTATGGTAGGCCAAAAATATTAGATTGGGATTTAAGACATGCTTCAACAAGAATGAGGAGGAATTAATAATGTGTATTAGTATCAACTAATTAAACAGAAAAACTATAGCCTGTGACAAATAACACCCCAATACCATCTAGGTGTGCAAGACTACAAATAGCCTTGATTAACAAGCCAGACTCAGTATATTACAAACCAGCTTTCTTAGTGGAAATTCCCTCACTCTTGCGCTTCTTCTCTAACTTTTCTTGTCTTTTGGCAAATCTGGCAGCCCGTTCTTCAATTTCTTGTGATTCTCGACATTTGTGAAAATTTTCCACTACAACTCCCACGAACATGTTCAATACAAAGAAGCCAACCAATAGGAGAAATGATATGAAATAAAGCAGACGCCATTCACTGTAGTTTTCTTGCGGCTGGAAAAAGTGGAATATAGAAATAAAAACAGTATGTTAAAAGTAAACATTTTGTTGAAATTTGAATTATTTTATCAACTTATATACAAGCTTAACTCTAGTTGATTCTCTATTGCAGGTGTCCATAACATGGGTCTATTTGCATACTTAAAGAACATGGATACTGTTTTAAAATTTTTCCATGCAGATTTCGCTATTGAGTACAGTTGTCAAATTATTATAATGGGCTAAAAATCCATAAATAGTGACTCTTAAGATTCAAAAGTCTTCAGGCATCAGGATGAACATGAGAACATGACGTCACTAGCTTTGTTTCAAAAGTAACAGAATAGCATACCTGTTGATCAACACCTACAGCATCTAAACCAGTATACATAATACTGACCCAACCATCTTTAGATGCTAACACAAACAGGGCCATTAACGCCATACCAATATTATCAAAGTTATATTTCTGGTTGATCCAGATATTACGTTTATCTGCTAGACATTGTGTTTTATTTTGGATATGTGTTACATCTGGTCCTTTACAGTAGTAGAATGAGCCTTTAAATAACTGAAACAAAAGGTTAGATTGATAGTTTTATGATATTTTATAATCACTATATAAGTCTTCCTATTGGCAGTTAAAAATCTCTTTAAACTCAATGAAAAAGGTTAGGGTTATCACAGCACCTCTTCAGTAAGTATGCAGTTCATCTGAGTAATTGTAGATCAAACCCCTTGCACACCAAAACTCCTTGTGAAGCATTGGCTGGCTCAATTACATTCAAACCTGTTGACTGAATTACTATTTTGTTTCCTCTATCCTGATCAATTGATTCATTAACCCTCTAAAACACAAGCGCCAAATTTACCTCCACCATCATTAGATTAATAATATTAGTATATAGACTTACCTGAACACCAAGAATACCAAATATAATAAAGAATGTACAACAGATAAAAACAATATTTCCAATAGGACGTAATGATGATAATAATGTTTGTACAACCAATTTTAATCCTGGAGCTCGACTTATCACTCTGAAAAAAATATTTAGTAATTAGTAATCTTCATAACAAATATTTAGTAATTTGTCTTGTAACTAATTGATTATAAGGATTATTTCTAGTATGCATCCTCAAGTGGAACAAAAATAAACCAGCACATTAGCCTTAATAGCAAACAAAAGTGCTCTTTTGATATATCAGTTGTTGATTAAATTCAACCATTCATAAAATTGTTTTCACAAAATGACTTATTGTATTGATATGATAGGACTCATTCAGGACACTTCAAAATGTCCAGCTTTAATTAACACAGATCTAAACTATCCAAAAAATAGTATAAAGGATATTGGTCCTGATAGAAAACACCTCGAAAAAGATTTCATTATCATCCATATTAATTTACCTGAGAGGTCGTAAAGTTCTCAATAATCGGAAAACACGGAGAATGCCGAAGATTTTAGGAGAACTGGAGGCACTGAGGGAAATAATCATATCTACCAATGATATAACAACTAGAAATCCATCCATTACATTCCATCCACTTTTTAAATATGCATGTTTCCCTACTACTACACCTTTAGCTATGATCTGAAATAACATCAAATTTATTTTAACTTAACATTGTACAGTACTAAAACCTATTCTTAACACATAGCCCTTCACATAAACTTGATTTTTTGTAAACAACCAAATTTATAATTTGAATGTAAATAGATATAGGTATAAAGATCCAAGGTGCCTGATTTCGTCACTTAATCATAAGTATTTTCTTATTTACCTTTATAACCATTTCAGCTGAGAAGATAGTCGTAAACATGTAGTTAGCATAGATTAAAAACTGTCTTTCCTGGAAAAAATAATATAAATTAGTTTCCTTCTAATGATTTCCATTTCCTGTATCACACATAGTGTAGCTTATCTTCCAACATAGCATAGCTTGTTTTCCAACATAGCATAGCTTGTCTTCCAACATAGCATAGCTTGTCCTTGTCTTCCAACATAGTGTAGCTTGCCTTCCAACATAGTGTAGCTTGCCTTCCAACATAGTGTAGCTTGCCTTCCAACATAACATAGCTTGTCTTACATCATAGCATAGTTTATCTTTCAAAATGGCTTAGATTGTCTTCAAACATAGCATTACTTCAAAACTAATTAGATAATGTGGGTTTGAAACCTCCCTAAAAATTTTCTCATAAAAGGAAACAGAAAACTCATGTATCAGAATTCTCTCCAATAACTACCAATGTTTCATAGCTTTCTGGACATCATTAAAAATCCAACAACACCACCATGATCAGTGGCAGGACAGAATTCATTCACTATTTCTTGTGCTGTGTTCTCATGTGAAACACCATTCAAAACAGGGAAAAGGAACTGGTTTGGGAATTGAACCGCATTCAAAATCAAGCATTTGATGTCAAACAATATTGGGCAAATCTATTCTATAGGAAGCTGAAACCACACCTCTGAAACATCAAACTGTGGTCTTGTTATTTGTGTATCTAGTCAAAACAACCTGAGGGGTAGGCTTATTGCTTTATCAAGGTTGTAGGGAGTGCAACACAATACCCCTACCAAGCTAAGTGATCGGAATAGAAAAACTGTTGTTTTTTTCATTCACTTTTGTATTGATTGCAATTTTTGTTTTGGTTTTGAAAATACATGTGTAGTCAAAAACACAGATGTTGACCTTTTTATGAATTTTATCAGTGACCAAACCTCCCAGTGAAATGGTATTTGATTTCTGACGAAATAATATTGGAAAAATATTAAGAATATCTTTCATATTTTTTTCAAAAGTGAATAAGAGCACCAACAGTTCTTTCTTTTGTCATAGTTCAATTTCATTCATTCATTCATGTAATAATTACCCCTTCTGATTTCTGTAATAAAATCATAAGTTTCAATATCAATTAAGATTTAATTTTATCTAAGGTGGTACGATATAGTAAATTGTACCACCACAAATGTCTACCTCAGATTCAGAGACAAGCTTTTCTCCTATTTATTTCCCAATCTGAATGAGCTACATTAATGTCAATCCCTTTTGCAACATAATGTAAATACACCCACACCAAGAACTAAGATTTGATTATAAAACTCGGCCATAAGTTAACCAATCACCATATAAATTTGTTAAAGTAGCGTTGAATAAAAAGTAGAAAAGACTCACCACACTATCTGGAGGAATATCTGGTCTTTCCATGGCTAATGTGATACAATTTAACGCAATAAAAAATAACACACCATTATCAAACCATTGTCGTGATATCAAATGATGACAGAATTTCCTTAACCTGGAATATACAAAATGGTGATTGAATTATGCTAGATATTCTCCATTATGAGATTCTCGATAGTGGTACTTAACAAGGCTAACAGTTATCCAAAACATGTTTCTAGTAGCATTAGTCTAAGTGTACTCTTTTTCCATTTAAAACAGGTTTGTTAAGGTGTAGAGACATTTCACATGGGTTTCCCATTGCATTATCTGAATAACTACAAGACTTTCTCCATTTCAGCCCATCCAACAGGTGTCACATGGGAAAACAATAGATAACAACACATGAAATGGTCTATCAAATAACTATATCTATATCTAACCTGTTATTATGTGAGAGTAAATATAATGAATGTTCATGTCGAGTTTTAAAACAGCCAGTTGGTTCAGGACAACAAGTACAATTCCAATCCTAAAAATATATATAATAAAACTTATCACAGCATATATTTATAATGACAAATATTACCAGTAGAGTTCTGTATCAGGGCTAGAATCAACAATTGTAAATGTTCCTATCTAGCTGTTTTAAGCCCAACGCAGACGAGGAACATTTCTGTCGACGAACAAAAACATCAAACAAATATATTTGTTTTCCGTTATCCGCAGACGACAAACATAATTCCGCAGACGACGAACATTTACCTCGAACAATAAGCCAGTGCCACGGAAAATCACATGACCTCAAAATGGCGACGTCCAGAAGAAAATGTAAAATTGCGTTAACTATTTCATTAATTTTAAAAAGACGCCAACATAGACGGCGAAATAGGAGCATTAGGATCCGTACCTGGATTCAATGTCGTAAAGAGCAGGGTGTGTTCGGCAACCTTGTAAATTTACCGGTTGTTTCCAGGGATTGTGCTTTTCTTGCATCGCAGCGTACTTCTTGTTCCTGTCTGAATAGTCGGGCGAGGAAATCATAAACAAACAGGCAGATTGCGACCACATATCTTCTAAAATCTACTCCTTCTCCACAGTCCAAAATTTTGTGTTGGTAGATTCACTGGACGTCGCCATTTTGAGTGTCATGTGGTCTGGCTTCAATCGCTGATTGGTCTTTCGTCGATGAATGTTCGGCGCTAATGTTCATCGTTAACGCAGACGGCGAACAAAGAATTGTTCGGGAGGCAAACAATTTTAAAAAATCAAACATGTTTGATTTCACGAACAATTCTCACGAACATCTTTGTTCGTGTTTCTGTAATCCACAGACGGTGAAAAAAATGATCAAAACAAAATTTTTACGATTGTTCACTAAAAATGTTCCTTGTCTGCGTTGGGCTTTAATGTGTAACAAGACAATGTGAATATCAACTTACTGTTTCATCCATAGCATCTGGATCAGGTTCATCTGCTGGACTTTCAGACCCTGATGGTGGATCATTTAAATTATTTGGTTTATACTCTTCTTTTGATGTGCCACTCCCCACTGAGGTCAATGTCCGATGACTGGTGAAAGAATTTTGGCGACTTAATTCAAATGAATTGCACACACTTCTATTACTAGTCACAGAGTTATTCCTACTCCAACTATGATTGGATTTAATTGAGTTTTTTGGCGTAAGAGTTTGTGGTCTGTGACCTTTTATGGAATTTTGAGGACTCAATGTTCGTTGATTGTTGAGAGGTGGATGACCATTACAGTCCCTGCTGAAAAACATACACCAGAAACATTGTTGTTAAAATGTGGAGATCAATATGAGCATAAATAACGATTGGTGAATAAAATAGAAGATTTGAGTTCTAAACAACAGATATATCAAATTCCTCTTCAAGCACTATCAATTTCAAGTATTCTATTTTAATATCAAAACTTCTCTTGATTTCAGGTTTTCATTTCAGAATTTTAGAATAAAAATGTTTGATATACTTCATCACATCAAGTTTTGACTACTTTCTACCCAAACCCACTACAATTATCTTCATTCAACACATCAAACAATTTCAAGCAGATTTTTAGAACTCATAAAGACATTAATTATAACATTGAGTTACTGTTTTGGAGTTTATATTTGGAATTAATGCAATATCACAAACAGTTTATCTTTTTATCATGCATTGAAAATGATTTCTCAAACCCAAAACACTACAAGACGTTCACCCTGTATATCAATACTATCCTAAAGGTTATTACATGCTTCCATTCAGACATTTCTTAGATATCATATCCAAAAAATGCAAGCCAAACTGAGCATCACAAAACAGTTGGAAATTTCCATCTTCTGATCCAGTCAAAACTAATAATGAACTTGATTTTGACCTTTTTATTTTGTATTATATCATTGTATGTACAACATCAAGGACACAACATTTTCCATCTTATTTTGAAGTAATTTTGGAATAATATTCACAACTTTTCATGTATGGAGCATAGTTTTATTTTTACCCAATAAAAGCAGTTGTCAAAATGGGGATGAGCATTATAGACAATAACCAAATTATGGAATCTTTTAAAAGATATTCCAGTCAAAAGTAATTTTATAACTGATCACTAAAATGGAAGACAGCATCTCGCAGGACAAAGTATATTTAATGACAGTAAGACACAAAATTGGAAAAAGGATTTCATCTTAAGTAAGAAGTGAATCTAGCATCACACTGAAAAAACATCAAAATAACCCATCACAAGAAAAACACAGATATGGGGTAGACTAAAACAATATGAAGGACACATTGGAATATGTAAAATGAACAAATCAACAAGCAATATGCTTGTATAAAATGGTGAAATATATTGGTTAAAATAAAGAAACAATACATTGACACATTCTCATTGGTTGAAATATATACCTGAAGACATATGTAACAGAATAGCTGTATGGTTGAAAAAGATATAAATGAATTAGCCGAAAAAAAAACAAGTAAATATTCATAAATTGAAACATATTACAGACAACAGTAAATTCATCTGTGATTCAAACAGAACGGCTAATCCAAATATTAAATTTCTTGATAAACTTTAAACTAAAAAAACATATAGTCATCTGAATATTTTCTCAATCACCTGCCAGAGCTCATGTCCACATATCTGTCGAACATTCGAAGACAGTCCAAGTTTCTTATATCAAAATTCAGATATAATTATTAAAACTACAAGTAATTCTATTTCAAAAACATTACTTCTGAAAACAATATCCCTTCAAAACATTTTGTTAAAATCTGAGTGAGATTTTGCATTATTTATAAGAAAAATACCATAGTTTAAGTGTTTTTTATTTTGGATGTTTAATTTTGTATCACAGACAAGTTTATACATGATAAGTAACATAACATAAACAGTGAAAATTGAAAGAATGGAGAAAAGCCCTTGTATAAAAGCAGTTTGTGATTATATTAACAAATCATTTAACTTGCATCACATATTTAGAGCAGCCATGCTTTAAATTAGATTCAAATAATTAAAACCAATTCAGAATTGCTATTATATAATGATTTGAAAGATTTTATAAAATATCAAGCAGTATTTATATCAATGAATGATTCACATATAAAAGTACATTTATAAAAAGATAATTTGACAGACAAAACAAGAAACTGATGAAAACATACCTGTGATTATTAGGAGTTCTAGGCGTACCAGCGCTATAATTTGATGATTGGGAATTTGGACTCGATAAAAATACGTCATCTTCAACATCTTCACAAGAATCTGATTGGCTATCTACAACTAGGCTTGTTTTATCACCATCTCTTTTCCGACTTTTCATTCGCCAACTACTGCTTCGCTGACTGCCCTTACTGGAAGTTCTACGTAATCTAGGGGACGGTCTTGGAGAACCTCGAAAACTGAGGCTTGTCTGCAAAAATTTATCATAAAGTTTATGGACTATTTATGTGTAAAACACTTTATTAAGAAATTTTTGAGGATTATTGAGCATAAACAAAGTTCAAAATGACATAGGCTACAAATTGTGGAAAACGATCCAAAAAAAATTCATGCATGTTTCCACATGAAAACTGAAGAGTATCTTTTTAAAAATATCTTTATCATTTCATAATATATATTACTTAGCATATTTTTTTTACAAATATTAAATAAGAGTTTTCTTTGCTTTTTGATGATAAATTATACATGCTTTATTTTTTCTAATTTTTCTACCAATAATACTAAATGGTTTGCATTTCTAACCAATGATATTAGTGTGAGACTATTCTATGGTGCATAATCAGCTATGTTGACTATATTTGAAGTATGTACATGGAAACGATAATTAGGAGATGAAAGCACAATGAAATGAAATATTTCAAATGGGCCAAAAATTGTCCACTGGAACTTTATCTTGAAAAATCTTTCCATTGTACTTTAATCAGTGTTAATGTAATGTAACATAATTATTATCTACATGATGATTATATATTCTAGGTACAATTTCAACCTTTATGTTCTTTATTAAAACTAATACTACCTTTTAGAATGAACATAAATGTTTAAGTCTCTACTAACGATATATCCATTAAACTAAATAATTATGCTAAATTAAACATGCTTAGAAGCGTGTTTCAAAATTACTTAGTTTTATGGATTTATTGGATTATAAAGGGATTCTTTTGTATAGTAATGACACCAGATCAGTCCACTGATGAACACAGATAAATTTTGGCCAAGTTTGAAAATTTCAATATTTTGGTGATCGTAAGAGGTAGTATACCTTTAACAAAATCTCATGTATGTACCAGTGCTGGCATACTTCAGTCTGACATATCTACTGGTCATTTAAGTTATCAACAATTTTTGTTGTCTTTAAGATCAAAATTATTTCTTTCCATTTTAGGTCTTCAATTAGGCATGGCTGATAAATACAACAACACTCCTGGTACATACATGGTGATATATTATAAGCTTTCTAGTTATAATTATAGAAGCTGCATGTGAATTGTGTAACCTTCATCACAAGATGATCAAGAATCAAGGTGAGATTCAAGATTCAGGCTTCTATAAAAAAGCCTTTGAAGAATCAAATATCTGTAGAATATTTAATAAATGATGAAGATTACACAATGAAACTAAAACTTTGGTGAAATAAGCCATACCACTGATCTATGTGAATCTACTGATAATGAACTGCGTTGATACGGGCGATTAACGCTTACTGCAAGTTTATTGTTGATATCTTTTGCTGCACTCTCATTGGGTGAACCTTGTGGTGTTGCCATGGGAGTAGCAGCAGTATGAGTTATGATTGGTGGGTTTAATGGACCATCAGGAACAGTAACTGCCAACACTTGACCTGTATTTTCTTCTTTGGTAACAGCTACTGCAGGTGGAAGAGCTAACATTTTTTTCTCTGAATAGAATATAAGTTTGGTTTGAATTTTAATTAATATTTTTAAAAATTTTATACTCAGTGTAAAAAGTACTTTTTTCTTTAATATCCATCACTTTCTGATAGAATTAAAAAAATAATTTGTAATTTTTATTCATTTAAGTGATAAAAACCATTTGAATTCTTCAATAAATATTGAGAGCAAGTTTTCTGGTATCTACTGTATTTATGTGCTCTTTATTCAAACAACAATCGAACAACATACCTTTTTCTTTATTATTTTTAACATCTAATTCATCTGTATTTATTTTCTGTACATCATCAATATTATTATTTTCAGCTAATCTTTGTTTTTCCTTTTCTTCTTTTTCCAATTCTTCCATTTCTTTGGCCTTTTCTTTCTTTTTCTCATCCTCCTATTGTTCAAAATAGACATTGATGTAGCAGATTTTTTTTTTAAAAACATGATAATATATTTCATATCTTGAAGACTATACCAGTATTTGTTTGATTATTTGATTTATCAGCTGATAAAGTTTAATTTCACAAAACCTGTCAAAATTAAATTCCAATTGCACCACATTGAACAACATGTACAGTGGAACATCATTTACATAGAGATTGTAATCAACATACAATTCTTAAAACATTGTGTCAGATTTTCCTTCTGAAAAGTGATATACATAGCTGAAATATTGAGACAATTGTCTTTCTTTGAATTAACAAATTACAATAGATTTGTTTGCCACTTCTAATCCAACCATTCATTGAAACCATTTTTAATCTATTCATTTTCACTATGAAATTATATACTCACATCAGTAGCAAATCCTTCAACCAGGATAGCAACCAGTAGATTGAAGAGGACATAGTTTCCAAATGTCATCAATGCAATAAAATACAGAGATGCCCAGGGAGATGTTTTAGACATACCATTATACAACACAGTATTCCAATCTTCTTGGGTTAATACCTACAGAAAATAAACAATATTTTATATTTCAGACTGTAACAATGTTATCTAATATTAAATTTGATTATAGTCATTACTTTGAACATTTAAAACATTTAAAGTTGAATTCGATAAAGGTAGAAAATTTAAGAATATTTTTTCAAAATATAAGTGATGGTGGGTAAAAAGTGAAATTGTGAAAAAATAAATTGAAAATTGAAAATAAAAAGATCATTTTGAATAAGACAAAGACATTACAGGACACACAGATTAAAATTTACAACAAATTTTACAAGGTCATAGGTACAAAACAGTGCAGGTATAATGAAAGCTGCAGGAGGAGCAACAATGAAGGAATGGATTTTATTTGGTTCTGAGATTTGTCAACAGGTGAAAAATTAGAAAATATTTACTGGATAGGATTGAAAATGGAGGATACATTTCCATGGAAAGTTTTCATTTTGTTTTAACGCAGACAGCTTTTTTACATCCAATTTAACAACTGTTCTTTCATATTATAATGAGTGACCTTCATCTGTGATTTTATTTTCTGGTTAGAATTAGAATTGAAATATTATTCAATTTATGATGTTTTTGAAATAAAAGTAAATTTTCCCAAAGATCTTAAACACAACTTTTTAAAAAAACAATACGATAGCAAATCTATTTAAAAAATCTATCCAATGATCCCGATGATTTATTTGATAAATTATAGAAAGTATTGTTCTTGTGTTATAAAAATACCCCCCTCCCCTTACTTATGGGAAAGTTTTAAGGTTATAAAATGTACAAAATAAAAGAATTAATCATAACAGCCAATGAATCAAAAATTAAAAAGTGAGGTAAAAGTTGATAAAAAGCATTGACCAGGCACCAAGCATGAAAATTAGAAAAAAATGGTCATGAAAGCAGGCAGTGTTACCTGGAAGACTGTGACTAGTGACCAGAGCAAGGTATCAAAGTTTGCTCTGTCACAAATACATACAATTGTTGCATTGTTCAAATCTTCACATGAACATTGTGTACCATCCAATCTTTCACAAAATTGACCTCCAAAAACACTCATCCCCAAAATACTGTATGATGAAACATTGGGGAAAAGAAAACAAACTAGAATAACTACAACATAATGAAACATATAATCTATAATACTGGAAACATTCCCTTGTGATTTAGGCAAGAATTCCTATTTATAAAAATTAGGTAATGTAAAATGTAAAAGTATTAAGAGATTTTTTTTCTCGTAAAACAACATCCATGTTATTCGCTTCTGATGCATTTGTAGAAAGATTGAATACTATAATTATTGATGAGTTTTGGTTGTCAAATGACTTTTGAGACATTGTCATTGGAAGGAAATGAGGGAAGAATGAATATGACCTACACAGTAAGGAATGTTTCCAGTTGCCCTACAACTATTGAAAACATACATTCTGTCAATGAATCATGATAACAATAAGGATGATTTCTCTACATTATAGAAGTTACAAATAGAATTTGTACAAATCAAAGCTTTTGTTATGTGTCTTGCTGTGTTGTCTGTCTAGAGTATAATACACTCTTGTCAAAAATTATATAAGTTTTCATGTTGTTTTATGAAAGGGAACAAGGCATATTTCTAACTTCTATATTGGTTAACAAACTTGTAACACTGTAAGGAGAGATGTTATGTTAGTAAATGAGAACATAATATAAGCTCAGGGTCAACTGAGGTTTTAACAAATGAACAGCTAATTGGAGGCTATTGGTTCAAACTAAAACTGAGAATACAATTTGCTATTTTTGGAATATTTCTATTGGTACTGCTTTAAATTTTTAAGTAGTGTAATGCTAAAAATAAAATAGATTATCATTTGACAAGAATCAAAAAAATGCAAGCAGACTAGTTTGGTTTTTAGTAGCTTATTATTTCAGATTGTGATATCAGTCAGAACAAATAGCCACTCTACAAATATTAACTATAGACACACATTGATATTAGGGCACACAAACTGCAACTATATTGGTCTGCCCTTTTCAAATACCTGAAAAACCGTTATCAATGCCCAAAGTAGGGAGTCAAAATTTTTGCGATCACATTTGAAAACTCCTTTCTTCATTCCACAAAATTTACAACCAAACAGATTCATACCAAGAATGCTAGGAAGGGGAAACAAAATTATTTTTAAAGATTAATCAACTGCAATCAAACCTTGGAAAAAAATAAATTTTATTAATTTGTTAAAATTAAAATATAAAAAAGTAACTTGAGGTAGTAAATTGTATTTGAATGTTCATATAAAGACATATAGATATATGGAGACATATTTGATAATTAGATGTGGCGTCTGATAGACTACTAATAACTACTAATAAATTATATAAACTATATATCATGATATAATATAAACCAAAATGTCTTTGCACCAGTTTAGATAATAAAATAAATTAGTGTGGGAGGGAATACATTACAATGTTAAAAATGGTGGCCCACATTTCAAGGGTGTATAAAGAGACCAGAGAGACCTATATGTTAATATCTTTATGAAACTCATTATGATACTCTTTACATTTCTCTGTCTTCATTAGCCCATAAGATGCAGAAAAGTAGTTCATAAAACTCCATTAATTACATTTCTTGATAATATATAAATCAAATAATTGACTCACCTGAATATGAACATAAATAAAATAAGGAGAGCAAAAAATGTTGCTACATTATCCATTGTTCGTAACATAACAACAAGTTGCCGTCGTAAAGCAGGCAGAAAGCGGACAAGTTTCAATATTCGTAGTAATCGGAATGTACGTAAAACTGATAATCCACTAGTCCCACCCTGAGCAAGTTCAATAATGCTGAAATATCAAAAAAAATTAAAGATAATTTATAAAGTACAAAATAACAATGTCAATGGAGTTCAAAACAAAAATTAATGTGAAGACAACAGCATAGTTTTTCAATCGGTACTGCATGCATCCCTCTTATACCAAACGTTTCAGATATTGAAGAAAAAACCCTTTTATGTTCTGCTTGTTCCCTCTGTTTCCAGCATCTATTGAAGAGTCCAGTGATGTTCAAAATTTCAGAAGGAGCAAGTAAATAAGAATGACAAAAAATGTCTTCATACCTGAGAATAACAATAAATGCATCAAACACATTAAAACCATCACTTATATAACCAAACAAGCCTTCTGATACAGCTTTCAGCACCATTTCAATAGTAAATAAAGCACAAAATACTATATTACTATATTCCAACACTTCTGTCAATGCTTTAGGCTGAAAAACAATTTTGATATTCAGTATCAGTTGCATAATAACATCAAGTCTAAATTTTCCCCATAATGTATTAAGATAAAGTTTGGCAGCAAATCTGAATTGCTCCTTCTTCAATATAAAATCATGTAAACAAAATAAAATCAGATTAGTATTGGGTTTCATAGAAGATACTCCTATTGAAGCACTGGTCAAGTACAATACTTGTTTTCAATTTGCCATAAAACAAATGATATTGGTCATATTATTGCGTTTTATGAAATGAAATGATTATAAGTGCTCACCTGATTATGATGTTCAACAGCCATACTTAATGTATTCAATAATATACACACTAAAATACCTCGTTGAAAAAACTGAGTTTCTACAAATTGTTTGGTTTTATCTTGTACAAACTGAATAGAAGCTATAAGAATAATAAAATGTATCATTGACAATTAACGATAGATTTCAGATATCAAATATAGAAGATGAAATCTGAGGATGATATGATCAAATGAGTCAAGAATAAGAAGGCAAAGGAAAAATGAAGTATAAGTAAAATGTATTGAGTAGTCGATGTGCAATTTTAAGAAAGATTTAAATATAAAAGGAATGAACTGATCCTTTTGTTTCAAAAATAATTTCTTTGAAAACAATAACAAATTTTAGTTTCATGACTGCGATTTCCAATTAACTGATTGTCAAAAACTGATTAACAGGAATATATATATTGATACCAATAATAACCAATTAGTAAGTTATTTATTAATAACTGTTCAGGAATAATAACTACACCAAAATTATAAAAAGATGAGTTTTAAGAGGATGCAAATGATAAAGAGAAAATTTGAAAGCACTTTCATCAATGTCATATTTTTCAAATTGTGTCAACAGAATTCATCATAGTTCAATCATGACATTCTGTAATATGTAAACTGATAATAGATGAAAGTGCTTTCTATAATGATGTTAAAAATGGCACATCTAGAAAATTAATTAAATAAACATTACCAAAGAAGAAAGAGTCCAATATAAAACAACTCAACTAAGGAGGGGAAAAGAATATAATTACCATTACCACAAAAACAGTTTTTGTTTTTCTTTTTTTCTTCCTTCCAATCGTCCTCAGAATCACTGTCATAATCTTTATCACTGTCACTATTATCGTATTCAGAATGGCTATTAGCAGTCTCGCAGTCGCTATGAGTGCGGGACAGTTGATGCGATAATGAAACACGTTTATTTTCAGCAACAATATGATCGACCAATAATGTGTCAGCAAACAGTCCTGAAGTAACAAGAGCTAATGAAAATAAAATATAATAACACAAACCCAAACCACTTCTTTAACTGAATAATTTCATTTCTTTTGACATGTTCACACAGTCATTTGGCAATATAGAATAAATAAGACTGATTAAAGAATCTCAAATCAACGGCTTTGGAAAATCGCTATGGTATAGGTTGTGATAAGTCTGTAACTGTGTATAATGGAAATCCTCTGTCTTAACAAGAAACCATTCTCAGATTAATAGCATGTAACACAAACACAAAAGTGTTTAGGATTCACAATTATTGTAGAATATTTAAAAGGGATACTGATCACCATGCTTACTTCTTTTGGCACTACAAGGACTGTTGTTATTTGAAGTTGAATTCTAGAAGTTAGTTTCAGTGTAATTAAAAGTGCCACATTTAGCTACAAATAACTTTCCCAATTGTTAAATCTAATGATAATGAAAGATATTCATCAATAGAATGTATGATGCATGTATGAATACTGATAACAATACAAGTTTTTTAAGATGATAGAAAAATATAAAGATAATGGGATGAACAGTTAACAATGAAGATGGAACACAAAAGAAAACTGTTGCATAAATGAATGAATTAAAACAGAAAGGATTTAGGGTTGTATTGGATTTACCAAAAACATTGTTGATAGTGTAATATGTTCATTTCAAATATCATCAGAAGTTGTAACCTGCACAAGGTTTATTTTTTCTACTCTAATACTACAAATGACACTTGCCTCACATAATATAGTCCAAAGAAAATCTAAAAATATTTTTGTAATGAAATTCAATTATTATGCATACTATTTCTGCCTAGTAATTACCACCCAAAAATATGAAATAATTCATGGCATTACCATGTTTTAGATAGGTAAACTAATAACCAAACTGAACAAATTATTTCATCCAATATGAATACAATAATTAAATCTATCATTTGAGTAGAAACCAAAGTAATATTCATATTCAATATTATCAGTTATTAACTATGGGAGACAACTGTCATTGATATAATGAAACATAATGCCCAATATGGTGATGTGACTCAGTAAAGCGTCTATGTTAAGCAGTGTTTGTCCAGCCCTTACAAAACATGCTTTGTGCTAATAAAGGTGTACAGTTACTAAGAAATAAGCACCCACTGAATGTGTTTTGACTAAAATCTCTAACTGAGGTAAGACCAACAGTTAATCATATAGATCTAAAGCTAAAGCTAAATACAGACTCAGTAAAGAAAGCTGCAGTATCTGCTTAAATATAAGCATGAACTTAGCAACATTGAACTTAATAATCATAAACAAAAATTATGCTAAAAAGAGTTGCCCATCATCTATATTGCTTTTCTAGCCTACAAATTACCAAGCAGAATCCTGGAGCAGTTTATATGGAAGATACTAAGGTTTACAAGCTAGAAGATCAGAGAGTTTAAGCTACTAATAGTCAGAAATCAGACAGAACATTTCAGAACACAGTAAAACAAGGATTGTTTCCCTTACGTTTGCAATAACACTGAGGCCATCACCATAAAGTTGACATTCATGTAAATTATGCCCAAAAAATTTCAATTATATAAAATATTACACTCACAAAATATTATGAAGAATTTAAAATGGGAACAACAAATTTGGGAGAAAAATGACATGTGACACTTAAATTGAAAAAAATTATAGAAAAAACTGTGTTATGAAGTGCTAAGGGGTTAAGAAGATACAATCACCATCTTGGAAGTTTGAAACTGGTTACATTTTTCAAAATTTCAAGATTGTCAGAATAACAAAAACATCCATTTATCACCTGCATCATTAATGTTTCAACTCTAATTTGAAATTTACATCTGAACACTTTGAAACAAAGTTTATTGTGTCTCCCATTAATATTTTCTTTGAAAAAGATTCTGTCATTCAACATGCTAGGATAAATGGTTTGTTTTAAAATCTACCACAAGCAGAGCTAGTATCACAAAAAGGTCAACCACGGTGCTGAAAATCTTCAATATCAATTTCCAAACAAAATGTTTGAGTTAGATTTATTTAATATCAAACTAGAATAATAAGTGATTTTCAGCACAGAAACGAAAAGGTGGTAACTACTGGGTGAACTCAAGGGGAGACTACTCACCTTTATCAGCTAAGGATTGCAGTTTTGAGGGCTGTGTGTCGGCATTCAGTAGCAAATTAGAGGCAGCTAGTGCAGCATTCTTAGCACCTTGTGCAGCTAAAACTTCTGGCAAAGAAACTAAATGTTTGACACTCCTTTGGCTGTTAATGGACGGAGTGCGACTCAAAGCTACGTGTGGAGTGAGGTGATTCGGGGAGTGCTGACATGACTTAAAATATGATGGGGTCAAAACGTCAAGACCACTGCCACCACATGTATTAATAGACTCAGTTGAAGGATTCAAACTATTATTGTTGCTAGGCAACATCAAAAAATTTGGTCGTCTAGGAGAGGACAGTGGATCTACGTCAGAAAACTCGGGACTGGCTGTTGGTGCCACTGGACTTCCATCAGCACGTAAACAAATATCTGGATTCATCACATTAAGATGATGATGATGATGATAATTAGGATGTGGATTAAGATAAACTGTTGGTTTATTTATACCTTTCCGTCGATGTCTTTTCCTCCGTAGAGATATTGCTTTCTCTGGATTTATTTTTCTCTGTCTTTTTGCACTACTTTGACAATATCTACTAATAACTTTTCGTTTAGCACGCCGAAATAAATGCACGATAAGTTTCAAAATTTCTGTATAGCAACCAGCTGGTTCAGAATTGCTTGCAATTGTACTGGTCGATTGATATCGTTTTCTTTCTTGTAACATTCTTTCAGTTTCACGTTTTTTAGTTTCAGAAAATTGTGTTGCTATGACAACTAAACACAAATTAATCATAAAAAATGAGCCAATCTGAAAAAAATAAAATCATAAATTGTAACATCATTAAAATATTCCCATTTGATAAAGATCATTTAGATATTGAACATTTATCAAAATAGTTTAGAATAGCTCCATTTAGTCATAAATGTTACTGTACAGCCCTTGTAAGTAAAGTTTTGTGCTTTTCTATTGAACAGATAATATCAAATCAATAAGATACGGCAGGCCTGGAAAGACAATTTTTTGAACAGAAAGAAATCAAAAGTAATGATATATGACTATTATGATTCTTAATAAGCAAATATCCTATCATTACAAATTTCTAAAATTGTTATGATGAAGGCCCTTTTAAACATGTTTATGTTTTTCTTAACATATTCAAACTCCATTTGAACAAACAACATTGAATCATTTTATCAAAGTTACTTACAACTATAAGAGCAACAAAATAAGCCCAGTCCCAGAATGAATGAGCATCTTGAACATAATACATAATATTCACCCAACTTTCTAAACTTATCACCTGAAACATATTACAATACCTTTTACAGTAAATCATACTTCACTCAAAAGAACATCAATAAAATCCAAGTAATAATTTATGAGGAATGTTATAAACATACAGGAAAAGGTTCCAATTGACTAATCTCTAATCTTTATCTGTGAATAAAGGTATAAGAGCTTAAAGGGGCATCATAATCTGTATTTTCCAGAGAGACAAGATCAACAGACACATTGTGAAACTAGAAAACCTGATTTCAATCCCTTAAGTTTAATCCTAATTACTCATACCTGTACTTAATATTATTGAAATATATATGAATATTGCATGATGTTGTCTTATGACAGAGATAAATTTCTTGTAAAACGAAGAAAACAAGTATAATTGATAAAATAACACTTGTGTTAGATTTTTTCCATATCACTTGAAAATGAAGTATCATCAAAAAATAACTGTCATATTATCTGATGTACACTCAAGATTTAAATTTTTAATTCCATTGAAATTCTATAAAAAATAACTTTTAATGTCAAAAAAAAAAGTCAAAATTTGGAAAGAAAATTAACCCCAGTTTTCCTCTTCATTTTTTACTCAAGAGTCAATAATTTCATTTGGTAAATGTCAGAATGGTGGAAAAATTAAGATTAAAACCTTTGTCTGCGTCATATATTTACGTACATTATTTCCAAAAGAAATGTATGACGTATTCTAATAAGTTATAATGTATTTTTAATTTGTTTCATATAACCAGACATTATGACACCGTATGTCATGGATTGACATGTCATCAGTGGGCATAATGGCTTCCTGAGTAGCGATAGTAGGTGGAATTGGTAATTATAATTATTAAATTTTCAGTAACATTATAATCACTAAAGAATGATCTATGAATTTATAGGAAGCAAATCAAATCTTTTCTTACTTGAAAGATAGCCACCCAGGCAAATCCTATATTATCAAATGATATAGATCCTAGAAAAGGGTTTCTGTCGCCTGCATCACATTTCGTATAATATTGATTCCAATTCACACATGAATATGGTGTTGGCGTATTGTTACTAAATTCTTGAGCACTTGCATTACACAGTCTTCCCTCATATTGAAATAATGGTAAATTTTTACAAGTTCGTATTCCTGATTCACTTTCTTTACTACAAATATAGTCTCCTTTTAATGGCTTATAAAATGTTGGTAGTGTCCCCCTGAAATATCAAAACAGCAATGATCTATGTGTCAAATGCTTTCTCTACATTCCTGTTTATAATCCTTTAGCGACATTTAAGGGTAGAGATCACATTAAATAACGCAAAACAATTTTTGCTACTCCTTAGTCCTTAGTCACTCCACCTGAAGATGACAATGTAGATTGTTGAAACTTAGTGTGTAATAAAACTAAGGAGTAGTATACCATAAAATTGTGTTCCGTTATTTAATACATTCGTGTTAGATCATTGCATTCTACAAAAGATGCTCATAAAAGGCACAAGGCTTTGTTCAGGCTGCCATTTCGTTAACCTCCAATAGTCAAATTTTATGTAACTTTTTGACACTGACAAAGTGATTGAAGTGCAATGTCCCAATATACGGCACTCAATTATTTTGCCTTCTCAATTACTTTTCCTTCTAAATTACTTTGCCTTCTCAATTACTTTTCCTCCTAAATTACTTTGAAATCAATGTAAAGTAATATATTCTATACTTACACATAAGATATATTATCACTGATATCTATAAAACATCGATTTCGTAACACCCCAGCCCATAGTTGTACCCCAATAATCCCAAATATAAAAAACACAAAAAAACATAATAACAAGACATTTCCTAACATAGGTAACGTGTCTAACAATAACATCACCAGTATACGCATACCTGAAATACAAAAATAAAAACATTTTTCCAAATAATCAAAATTCAATATCTGCAAATTCTATATAGGTTATAGGCCACTGAGATGATAAAAAATCTTTAACTGACATATTAAGTTAGTCTAAAAGAGAAAATGAAAAGTTGATTAACATAATAAGAATGTACCAATGTGCCTTTGACTCACATGGAGGATTTGTAACACAAAATGCTTTTAAGTTGTACAACCAAAAGTGTTTAAGTCTACAAGGTAACATTTCTTATTATTGTTTTTTACAATTTTTTTCATTCCACTCTAGTAATGGATTCACAGAGAAATAATAACCACTGCTGGACTTACTTGGAATTCGATTAATAGCACGAAGTGGACGTAAAACACGGATTGTTCTAATGGCAGATATACTTAAATTTTCTGTATCAATTCCATATTCTACAGCTCTGTAAGAAATGAAAATATTCAAATTAGTTTAAAATCACTCAATTACAACCCATCACCAACATTCCAGCATACAATTTCAAAACAAACATTATATCTACTCTCATGCAATTTAAGCACATGCAAAAGCACATCAATATCTCCAAACCATTCCAAATCAAAGTTTAAGTTCATGCATTAATTTTATATTTAGAACTTCCTGATTTTCAGAATTCTGGGTTAATTTGCCAGTCCTGTTGTTTGAAGTTGTACAATTTCCAAGTAACATAGTCATGTACCTTACTACTTTTGCAAAAGCTATACACCAAAATGCAGGGAAATGTGTACTTTTACATTTCTGAAAGTTTACAAAAATCCAGTTGTTAATTTTTTTAAAGCCAAAACTATTTAAAAGTTAATCTTATGTAAACTTTTTAAGTTTTAAAGCTGTTAAAACTTCTAATTGTAGAGAAATATGTCTTCTACGTATTCGAAAGATTTCAACTAATATTATCGAGTCATTATAAAGACAAACATCAAAACTAGGTCAAACAATTAACAAGTACTCCCCATTTTCAATTAACCCTTTTAAGCTAAATTTAGTGTATTCAAGAAAATACATATATAAATAGCATATTTTCAGGGAAAAGCGGAGTGTCCCTTTAAGAAAAGATTTAAGATGGCGTTTAGGTCTGTGTGTTATGCTTCAACCTGAATAAAATGATAGAATGTGGAAGTTCAATTCAAAACACTGATTTAACAAATGTTTACCACAGACACAGAAGTTTATTTAAAATAACCATAAAAGTACAGTGCCAGTCCTGGGTTCAAATTGACTGCTTTTGTTCTTATTGTCTATAAGTTTATTGTAAAGTTGGACTAGTGCCCGCTTTTCTTTCAATGTGATTACTTCTCTACATGTTATCTGTGTGACGTCCAGTCGCCCAATCAATACCCTTCTTTTGTTTGTTACAACAAAATCAATCCTAGTGCCATTAAGGTAGTCTGGTCATAGCAAATTACGGAAGTGGGTAACGTAAACATCATAGGAAAACATTTTCCAATTTTGACCTATGTTGAAGAATTAGATTTTAATGGTCTTGACAGCTAATTAACAATTCTGAGATGTCAACAATAAAAATAGTCTTGAACTAAAAGTCCATTCGGTTATAAGACATTTTCTTTAAAAAATCTTGATCAAGTTCTTAATACTTAACGCTATGTTTAAGGAAATTGACTTTTTTTTGTCCATTGTGTGGTCTGTTATTTGAAATGATCTTTTCAGATTAATTCTAGAAAACACAAAAATCATCAAACTAAATTAAAAACACTGTTTTTTTTTAAATTATATCTTTTTAACAAACAAGGCAAGAATCTTCAATATGACTAATACAGTCAAATTTCTGACCTCAACAAATTACTGAATGCTGTCTTTTAAAATTAAGAAAGATTAAGAACTCAATAATCAAGTCTATTGACGTCTGGATATTTTAATAATACAAACATCTTCAAGCCAATGAACCAAATAAACTCTGAGATTTTTTAATCGGAAATCATTCTATTCATCTTTTTGATCGTCCGAGACTGGAGACCAATAATTCTTTCTTTAATCATCTATCAAAGTTTTAAAATAATTCCGCCTTTCATCTTATATAAACGTAGATTTTATTTAAAATGTTCCCAAATCTGACAGACTTTGCATAAGATTAGTGGAAACGATACGAATAAATATTTCTTTATTTTTTCTTCCGATAGCTTTTACTATGAGTATGAGAAATGCCTTCATTTTACTTACAAAATGGTTAAATGGCTTCACATTAGCAAGAGTGGGCCAGTGATATATTGATATACATCCTGCACTCAAATATTAAAATATCATTGTGTGAATGCCCAGGAACAGAATATATACAGGAATGGGAAATCCTCTCTACATAAAATGTTAACAAATCAAGACATCAAGAGCTATTTCTTGACAGACAAAAATCATGAGAAACAATTCTTTTGTGTGATTTTTCATTTGAGACAGGAAGAGCTAAAAAGCTATGATAACAACAATGACACATGCAACAGCCTTCACACATAAAACTTTAAAAAATTTCAAAAAATCCAAACAACATGCATCAACAGCACAAAATTCATTGAGTTCACTTAACTTTGAAAAGCCTGATAATAATAAATGATTTTACAAGAGGGACAATTTACCAGAGTGAATGATGTTAAAGTGGAATTGAGAGAAAAAAAATTGGAAAGTTGACATTAAGCGTAATAATCTGTTAATTGAAGGCATTATTCGATCACCTAGTTTGATTTGTTAATAATGCTAGAGAATTAATTCAAAATCTGTTGCTATGGTAACCAGAGAAAATAATAATTAAGAGACTATTAATAAATTTAACTGGATAATAATGTCGTTAGTGATAGCTGTCCAGAGATAAATCGTGATGCGATGATAATATCATGTCATTTAGACGGTAAACAAAATATCACCTTGTTCAAAATATCATCAAATTCTGTTCACAACTGACTGTGGTTTTTAAATTATAGATATCCATAACAAAATCATGACTTTTATTCTCTTATTAGAGGGAGATAACCAACATTGAACTATAATATACACAAGTCTTCAGCAATAGAGATAAAATTTTGATTCATAAGAAATATGACATGGAAAAAGTTTGTGTCCAACATATTTGTTGTGCTTGATTAGAAGGATGAATATGTTATTAATGTATCTTCTTTTAAATCATAAAAAAGTTCTTTATTCATGCCATTTTGTTTTTAGTTCAAATTTAGATATCAAATAAGTTCATTCACTTGTACATTGAAATGAATCACTTGTTGGTTTTCACCTTGTTATAAGAGTTAATAATAGTATAAGCTTCCACTTGCACATTGAGATCTGTGAGAATTAACTCTGAGGTGTTCTCTTGAGATGTACATTTTTCAAACAGTGGATGAAACAATACCAGAAAGATTTAGGAATCATCACCATGATATGTTGGAAGGTTTGGTAACTTGACAGTGAATGAAATTCTGATTATGAATATGAAGTGATGATCTTTTGAACAAGAAACCTCACCTACACTGAAAAGAAGGATCATGTATTCAAAACACAACATGCAGAAATTCCATGCAAAAGTTTCAAACCATGCAGAAAACAATCAAGGTTGCATTTTCTCAAAACATAATTCATTTAAAATTAAATCAAATATAAAAATCACTTGAGATATCTAAAAAGTATTGTCTCCATGGAAACAACATGCTATAATATCATCTTTTAATTTTCAAATTTTCAAAGATTTAACACACACTAATTTGATTTATATTTTGAGAAAGCAACTGTGAAAGAATATAGTTTGTGTGCCATGTCGCTGATAGCTTGTGAGATTTGAACCACAAGAAATAGGCAAAGTCTTACTTGTATAGAAGTAATTCAGCAATTCTACAAATTATGGGGAATTTAAATAAAATAAAATTAAACAAAAATAATCATTTGTTAATCTAAAAAATTAAATAAAACGTTTTGATGGATGGAAAAGAGTTTATTGAAATTTTCTTTGTTAGTAGAAAATTAAATTACATTTACTTGTGTTTTGTGAAATGGTTTGTGAAGAACAGAAAAACAATATCAAAGCAGATTAATATTTTAGCCGTAGAAATTTGTAGATTAAGTACATCTTACAATTTAGTACAATTAGAAGATTAAAATATAATTTCTTCTTTTATAAGTGTCAGATTTTTTTATTCTGAGATTTTTGTTGTAGGAAATAACCCAAATTTGTCAGTTTCACTATCTAACCATGAATCATTTTCTTAATTTTCATTCATTTGACATAAGTACAACACCTAGAAGCATAATCATCAAAGAGGCCTATACATGGTATTTTTGAGAGAATATATCAAATTTTCAATTTTTCAATTTAATATACAATAATGATTTCACAACCAAAAGATTTTAATAATTTTTTGGGGTTTTACTTTTTTTTCAAATTTTTAATTTTTAACATAATTTTGAAGCCAGATAGAATATTGATGTTATGGTATATATTTGAAGACTATTTCAGCACAAGGCTAAAATATGTGTTATCAGTGATTTGCCTAGTTCTTGTATGTTCAAGTTGAAGAAGCACCTACCTAATTTTCTCATACAGATAAACAATAATATCAGACATAAAATATAACATAGATCAAACTAAATATGGAGAAAAATGTAAAGAAAACCAAAATAAAACTAATTCAAAGGGAGACAACACAATGATCTGAGAGCCAAAATGCAAACTAAAATATAAGCGTGTCTAACACAATGTATGGCCATAAAATCATATATATATAATACATGAATAATATCTGATGTTCAAAATAAAAATACATTTAGAGTTAATCAATTGCAAAACATTAAACCTTAGCTGTGAATCAGAATATAAATGGCATTAGGACATTTATGGCTGCTTAGGTAGTAGCAAGTTAAAGTTAGAAGTCAAAATATTTTGACCAAAATGTTCTGACAATTAAAGATAATCCAGTCATATGTAACTGCTTTAAAACCTATTATATATAGTTATTATAGAGTGATTGATCTTGACTAATATCAATTTAATACCACTATTTATTTCATGTTCCTTAAACAACAGTAGCATACATTCTTTATATTCTACTGTTGCTCTTGCAATCCCATATTCCCATATAAACCGAAAAAATGTTCAGGTCATTCCTTAATTATTTGAACGAATTATTTCCCCCTCCATTTCGCCATTACTGAAAAACTCCCACCTGAAAAGTTTGAAAATTGCTGTAATGTTAGAATGCTCTGAAATTTTTTGTATATATTAAGTATGCGAGTTAGTACCTTTCTGTCAAGTTTCACATCGATGGATAATCGAAAAGCGCGTAAATGCAAAACTGCAACATTTCCAAATAATTCAATGGAGGCCGCCATTTGCAATTACCATCCTTTTACACCAAATGGAGATTCCTGATTGGATAAATTAAAAAGTGACGTATGGTTTGCAAAGGAAGGTCTCTAATGACAAAAATATGGGATTGCAGGAGCAACAGTAGAATATAAACAATATATGCTACCGTTGCTTAAGGAACATGTATTTATTCATTACCTATTTATTTAGCAGATTGCTGTATGTATTTTTTTTCTTAAATGTTCCTTTTGATTCCTGAGACGAACTGCATTCTTTAAAAATCGAACTAATTTTTGAAAAGCGGATTAAGAAACTTAATTCAAACAAGTTTTGTGGCAAAATTAGGTATTTTATTGAAAGTGATTGATAATTGGGGTGCATTCATTACTAAGGAGTGACAAAAAATAAGGATGACAAATTCTACAAAACAGTGAACATCATACAATATAAACATATAGTGGTGGCTGTCATAGCAATCTTGAAGTGTCAATTTCTTTAGTTGTGACCACAGATAATGTGATCCTGCACTCCTTACTTGAATTTTAATTTAGAAATTATCTAGTAATTGACATTGGTGAAAAACAGGACAATGGATTGTACATGCAGAGGGAGCTGGGAAAACATTGGCATATATTGAATACTTTAAAAAAAAATAAGAAATAAAGTTAGGAATGGTATCGAATTCCTTGTACAACCATAAATAATATTGATCTATTGATGAATTCTATAAAATATAACCAGTAAAATTTTGGATATTTCTTACCATTCTCAAATTTTATAACCCTTTTACATTTTATTTCATTTGACCTTTGATTTTATAATTACACTTTAAAACATAGCAGATAAGAGCAATATATAACTTTCAATTTACATACGACTTATTACTTTCTCCTAACCTACATCTTCCTTCCTCTCCAGACAGTAATTGCTTTCTGGTATTAATTTGCAGCAAAATTTCCAAAATGGTTTTGAAAAAAAAAAATGCAAATTGACAGTAAATTGAGAAAATTGAGATAAAATATATATTTGGTGAATCATATACTTCCTGTGGGAATAATTTATATGCATATTATCCTTTATTATAAGTTTTTTTTTATAATAACATGAGATATATCACCAGTCCTATTCTAGTAGTTTTTATAAAGGCCTTCTATTATTAGCCTATATCTTAACAGATAATTTTCCTGTAGTGATTAATAACAGAGAAGGAATGTTTCCTGTTTGATTGAATATAGTTTAAAATTGAATATCAAAGTCAAAGCAAATTGACTTGACAAAGTCATAAATTTTTAAATAGTTTTGAAAGCTTTTGAATGATTTAACATTTTCTCTTAATAAACACCACAGTTTTCTCACATTATTATAAAAAATGTGTCTCCTTCCCTTCCTATTTCTATAAATATAATTGATTGGTACTGTGAACTGTAAAGTCTTTTTATGTGTTGAGATTGAGTAGAATACTTTGTTACAGACTACTGTCAGTGGAGCTACAGTGGTCCATGTAGTTTATCTGACCTTGTAGTTTGGAGGAAGAATTTTGACACAGTTCAAGAATATACTTGATTATTACAACTGGTTTTCAAGTCAGGGCTACACAAGGTATCCAGTCTTTATAAATGGACAAGGTCAAAATGTGTACTACCGATTGTGCATTATTTCAGAAAGTTGGAAATAAAAAAAACATAGAGTGAAATTTTTTTTTTAAAGTATTTGTAAATAAAAGCATGCACGGGGGCCATAAAACAAGATGAAGAAATGTTAAATAGAAAACAACATATAACTAACAATAAGACACAAAATAACATAATTTCAAGATGGCAAATTGATATGTGTTGACATATATCTAGACACAAATTTCAAATTTTCAAACCATATAGTCTATAAGATATTGACATGAACAGATACAATACAGATTACGTGCACTCAACAAGGCGTATGACAGTGGTATAGTGACTTATATAGTGAATATGTATCTCAATCTTCTAATTTTACATCTTTTTCTGTGAATGAAGCAGAAATAGGAATCTGACAGATAGTTCCAGGCATCATCAGAATCTAGGATTATTTCTATATTTATAAAATGTTTTCATTTTGATTGTTGGTGAATCATAAAGGGGCATCAATAAAACTTAGTGTATAGGAAACAATAAATTTGGGCTAAATCCTACATCTGATATAAAAATGTTTATTTTATATTGATTTTTATGACAGCTATAACAGAAAATTCAAGATTTACCAAAAAAATGAGGGAAATTAAGTTGAGTATGAGGTTTTTGAACAATTCATGATCATTAATTAATAAAAGATCAGATTCTACTATTTAAGTATTTAATATTTAATGAATGAGATATTTTAAACATAAAATTTACAAATTTAGAAGGAAAACAATATTTTCAGGATAAACTAAAGAAAAAAGACTAGCACTGCCACTGCCACTATAACTACAACTATCAAGGCTTTATTTAGTTCTATCTGACAAAAGTATATTTCTTCTCCTTATTTCTATCTCAATAAATGATATTAAAATTGCTTAAAAGTGGAAATAAAAAGGTGAAAATATAATTCAAAAATTTGGCAAAACTGTTCTCTTTGGAAAGATATATTATAATAACAGCTGATAAACTGCAATACTTAAATTTTGTAAAAAGCAAAATATTATACATGAATAATGTTGTACAAAATGGGTTTGAACAAATTTTCTGAGCCTCAGTTAGACTAATTGAAAAAATTACAAGAAATAAAACATCTTATTCATGGATACTGAAAGTCATTCAGAAAACCTTGCTTTCAATCATGGAAACAAATCAAAGTAGTCTCAAGCAAAGGAGAAAAATTATCTTTTTTTGCCAAAAAGAACAGTTGCTCCATTCAAACAAAATATATTATGATTATAAAATAATAACTTACCCAGCTATGACAATAAAACAGTCCAATTTATTCCAGGAATCGGCCATATATGCATCTTTACCAAACACTCCCATAGCTAGCATCTTGATTATCATCTCAATGGCAAAAAAGGCAAATATGAAATGGTCAAAGGCTTCGAGTACTTTGCATCTGTTGGAATCACAGATCTGGTCATTACATGGTTGATACATGCCCAGTGTAACACAGTTGAGTAGAATCACCATCATACTAGCTCTCTCCCACCATGTATACAAGTGGTTAAGGAAATATGTATATAAAAATATTAGTATATTTGTAAATAGTTAGTTGGGATTTATTGTTTGCACTTGTTAAAACTGAAATGCCCATTCCACTTGTTAGAAATGAAATGCCCATTCCCCCTGTTAAGCATGTTGGACCAAGTCAAATGTGGGGTTAAACCAGAATTGTAAACTTATTTGATTTGTTTTGAGTCAATTCAACAAACTCAATTCCATTTGAATCTGTTATTAAAATTAGGTGAAGTGATGTTTTAATAGAAACATAGTTTATTCAAGAAAAATTTTACTTTAAAACTAGTTCAAGGCTATGTATGAAGTGTTTTTCTGTTTGTATTAAAACTGTAAATAAACCAGTCAGAAACCTTAATAATAAATAATGTATATATACACACTGATTATTTGGGTGTTTCTGAAAGAATATAATGGTTCCTTCTTATACTAAATGATTTTTTGAGAGAAAAATTATGATTTAATTTGGTGGTTTTACAGTTCAAATTAAGTAATCAACAGTTCTCTATAATATATGACACCATCTCAATGTAATGTTTTCCCAACATATTTATCAATTTAAAAACAAACACTCACATTTGTTGACATAATCACACTATAAAGTTTCTGAAATTAACAGGAAGCCTTTGGTCATGATCTTTGATGAGATTGACTTACAGTTCTATCAAGACTCTGAAAAGTGTTTAGGGGGATATTTACATTGAGTGGATTTAAAAGGATTAAGGTCAGAAAAAAAATGACATGGGATAGAAACAGAAAATATAACAGCATCACAAAATATCTGATTTCTAAAATCAGGTATGGAAAGACATGTAACATGGTTTGGTGTATATCTTTGAAAGAACTTGACGAATGTGAGCAAATTATTGCTTTTTACCCATGAAAACACTGGCCAAGATATCTGATAACATGAAATAATGATAGTGTGAAAGGTTGAGAAGCAGAAAGCATGTGTAATATCTAATTATACCATATATAATATGAGTTGATCAGATGAAAAGAATATTGATTTAGCCAATAATACGTGATGTCTCTGTTTCCCACCTTCAGGTTATTTTAATAACCAGCTAGTTGCTGTTAACATACCATGATTTTATTATATCCTGTTCCTTTTCACAATCACATTTTAGCAGGTTGATGCTGAAATTTCAACAGGCCTTTATTTGTATTCAAGGGTATATTTCTGACAATTCATTTTCTCACTGAAACTTTCTTCATTGAATAAACAGATCTTCCTAAGAATCGTTGGTGTACCATGAGTTGATGATGACCTCAGGATTAGTGTAATTATACTGAAGAAAATTATTTCTGTTGAACATGTCAAAAATTTATACAAATTGACCAATCATAAAACAGTCACAGAACCATGAAATCAGCTCTCCCTTGATTTGTTTACGTTATTTTGATTAACTTTGTCCAGTACGCAATGTGTTCACATTTATGAATGAATGAATGATAAACAACAAAACCATGATATTGGATGACAATGAAATATTGTGATTTTGCCTCAATTTAATTTTTTTTTTATTTCAGTGGATAAGAATGAAGCCTTAGCAGATTTTGATGAAAGTTTTCTGTGTTCTGTAAATTTAGTCTTCCGAAGAGAGAAGGGTGACCTTTACAATATACAGTGGTCAGTGTTTCTGATAGACAGCCATGTCAAGTGCCAGCCTCACCTGCCTCTTTAAATCAACTATCAAATGATTTGGTTATCATTATACATGATTAGTTTGTGATAAAAAGTGTTGTTTTGTGAAAAGTTAGAGCAGAGTGAAGACTGGACGGGAGCCAAACCTGCCACAATGAATGTCAGACCTCCAAAATATATAGACAAGGTTTTGAGAAATTGGTAACATTACTGAAATATCTACAGATGTACAGAATATGATGAAATAGAAATATGCTGAAAATTTAAGAATTTAAAGAGAAAATGGGCTAGTTGGAAAGTTGTATTCAAATAAAAAGGAAAAAAAAAAGCAAACACACTTATCACTAATATGGCAGAGATTGTGGGACCATATTGAAGGAGTTTTATTTTAAGTTTCCATTATATCAGATTCACATTGATACAAATTTCAAAGACACCCTTAAATATTTTAAAGTATTTATAACTGCAGTTGTGACCAAACAGATATGATGACTGGTCTGCTTATAATTGTCACCATACAAGGCTATTTCCATCAAACAGGACATTTTTCTCTATGCCTGCTTCAGTACTAAAGTGTTTTATTCAATTCTATATTACTGTCTGAAACTTAATTGCAAATTGTGTAAATAAGTTACAAAATATATACTCAACAGAAGAGATTTTGTAAAGCATTGTGTTGCAATAAAAGCATATGTAATATTTATACTAGTCAAGAGGATGAAATTGTACTGATTAGAGACAAGAAATTGGTAAGTAAAGGTATAAAATGAAATAATATACAGGACACTATAAAATCATATTATAAACCACAACACCATACCTAATACAGTAATTATATAAAATCAATCACAGCTATATTTAACTATGTATTTTTCAGGATAAAAATAGACTATATGAACAATATCTCATCAAATACAGTCCCTATCGATTCCCGTTAAAAATACAACAATAACTATAGACATAAATATCACATGACTTGAAGTTGTAGGACAGGAATTTCAGCTTTTAATTGAAGTAACACAAAGTTCAACATCAAGGTGGATAAGATCTGCAAGACCAAACTTAAATTAAATGATAGCTCTGCAGGACAGGCATCAGTTTATGATGATATCAATTGCTATGTACAAAAAATGTTCCAAAGATCTCACACATGTTTGACTGCTAAAAATATTAAAATACAACCTGATCTATTATTGTACCTACTGAAGTTGGATGAGAAGCAGCGATTCTCAACATGTTCTGTGATGTATACAGTGGAGCCTCGTTTATCTGCACATTCCCGTTCACGATAAATTCGTGCGGTTTAACGAAAATCCGGATAGCTGAAACATGCCATTCCACAACTAGAGTTATATCCCTTCCCACAAGGACACCTGTCAAATGTCATGTACGCAACATGTGAAAGACATCTGTGTACTTTATAGGGCCAATACGTCGTGAAGAACCCCGATTGTTCATAATTTTTCATTTTATTTCACTATCATAGCATGATAATAACGATACCATTCCTTAAAATTAGGATTCACTAATTTATAAATTACCGTGCCGTATCATCGTAGCGATAATGTTTGATGTGTTCCGTAGCCATGATGGAATTCAGGTATGACTGAATGAAAAATTGAATTCAAGTATTATTGAACGAAAGATCATAAAAATAAACGCATATTCTCAAATAACAATTTATTAAACACCGATTAACGAATAATACTAATCGAGAAGCCAGTTTCGCTGATATATAAACACAAATTTCTGTGCCGTAACTTCGTAGGGCTAACATTTGATGCATTACGTATCAATAATAGAATTCAGGTATAACTGAACGAAAGATGACATTGAAGTAGAACTGAACGATAAATGGTATTCAGGTATGATTGAACGAAAGATAGCTTATACTTGATGATTAAATTATTTGCTTAATCTCATAATGAGGATTTATTAAACATCAAAAATACCGCTAATCCGGGAGCCAGTTAGAAGAACTCACAGTAACACGCGACTATTTCTATTTACTATAGAATTTGATAATTGGTTCCCAATCACAGCCCTGCGGAACCAGATTAACGGTTACTTTTACATAGTAAATATTCCGTTTCCAGTAAAAAGCCTGTTGATATCGGGGTATCCGGATTATCGGCAACCGTATAAACGCGGCTCCACTGTACATGAAAATTTAATCATTTATCAAATTTTGTCACCGACATGAATTTTCTATTTCCTCAAATTTAAGGACCCACTAAATCAAAACTCTTGAGAAATCTTGTCGTCAAACTTGTCAAAATTTTCTTAAATTTGAAGTGATTGAGACCCATTATGTAAATCTTGAGCAAAGAAAAAACAGATCATGTCAAATTTCCACATCTTAATGTAAGAAAAATTGATTATTTATTTGAAGCTATAATAGATTGTTAATGTTGTCTAGGACTCCGAGAAAAAAACAGAGAAAATCTTGTTATATTATATACTGAACTGATCAAGATTCAACTTTGATTGATTATGGTGATTAAATAAGTTATTTTTTCAGAAGAGATAAAATGAGCTCTTTCAAGATTATCATAGGGTGGACTGGTTAGATCATCTAGAAATTAAGTATCTTAGAACCAAACTAATCCCTTTATCTTCAATAACCACTGGTCAAACTCTTTCAATAGTAAATTTGATTGGAATCAACATATCTGAACTCCCCAATACACCCATGTCTAAGTGGCTGTCAATCTGTGACAAGACTCATCCAACCAGTTGGAAACATCTCAAAACCTTGCAATACAAAATTCATCATCAAAATTCCTAAGAATGCTAAAACTAAATTCAATTGCTACCAGGGAAAAATTTTGAAATTTCATCAATATTTCATTTTCTTTCAGTGGCAGTTTGAAGGACATATTTGTCAGTTAAAGCAGATGTTGTAACAGAAGTCTGGATAAGATCAATGTCCCTTTTACCTTATCAGCAATTCTATAAAAATTCAATATAAGGAGGATAACATAAACCTGAATGCAAATTGACTATATACTGTCATATCAGATGTCATGTTTATTTATTACTGTCAGATGTCATGACAACCAATCAGTATTCAGACACCTGTTTTCTACTAGATATATCCATCTAAATAATTTCATTAATCACTTTACAGATCTGTTTTACTAGATTATCACATCACAACAAATCATGTCTATCAACAGAATGGTCTGGTTGACAGAAAATATTATGACATTTACCATCACCACAAATCTTCCTGCAGTTTTAGTACAAAAAAAAAGTAAACGTGCTTGCCTGCTTGTTTAACACTCAAACTTTGAAACATGGAATTGTAAAAATGTGTCTGCACAGA